GAACGTCCCACTTGGGCTTCCTCAAGCACTACCTCAGTACAAGCTTCATAATTGTAACGTTGTATTAGTCTATATTATGATATATTTTAAGGGCGCACAGGACTGAGTCTCTGCCAAGGTACGTCATCATTTGGGAGGTGAGAGAACGGAGAAAACGAGGCGGGGGTGTACAGTGCGTGGTATTATAGTTATTATACTCCTCATTGGTTTGTAGTTGTTGTAGTCGTTGTTGTGTTGCTTCTATTTCGACAGAGGAATCAGGCTCTGACCATGTGTTGAAAAACTGCCGGAGACGCAGAGAGAAGGAAAAGATTGTTTATCGTGTTTCTTTACAATGAATTTTCAAACCCTATATCGGGGATTCTTTCGTTTTTTGTGTTTAATGTTGATATTTTTACGCCCCTATTGATACAATTTAGATCATTTAGGAGGCGGGGTTCGACTTTGTCAGGGTCAACGCTGGCTGATAGGGGATAGATCGTCCCAGCGGGAAACAACCAAATACACGCTCGATAAAAATTCTCCCCTCATGAGAATCAAATTAAATTCTTCAGCGCTCGACGCCAAGTGCGACGCAGCGACACCACAAACTGTGTAGGTATTCTTTCATTTAGTTATCAATGGAGTCCGTGTATTGATACCGTTCAGTAATATTCATTGTTTGTTTGCCAAAGGTTTTCATTCATATTTTGTTTATATTAAAATGAATTAGCATTTCTCACTAAGGCTGTAAAAGATGAATAAATTGGGGGGGAGGGTCCACGATATCGGAAACACGAAATGGTTCGATCAATCTTTTATCGCCATCCGAGTTGAAAGAATGAGAAAACAACAGACAGACGGAGGGAGGAAGAGAGGGAAAAACAGACAGTAACAGAGTGAGAGAGGGAGAGAGAGAGGGGGAGAAAGAGACAATGACACAGGGAGAAAAAGAGAGACACAATGAAAGAGAGACACGCACACAGTGAGAGAGAGACAAAGAGAGAGAGAAAGAGAGAGAGAAAGAGAGAAAGCGAGAGAGAGAGAGAGAGAGAGAGAGAGAGAGAGAGAGAGAGAGGGGAGAGAGAGAGAGAGAGAAAAGACAGAAGAGAGACTACCCCTCCCCCCCCCTCCCCCAATATGAATACCCTCAGCCCTCATCAAGCCAGGCCTTGGTGAGTGAACCAGACAGGAAATTACATTGGACAGACGACTCACACGACTTTCACCGCTCATTTACACAAGCGTCCTTGATTCTTCACATCTCTCTCTCTCTCTCTCTCTCTCTCTCTCTT